GTGTTACTTTAACCCTTTTTTTTCAGGTCTGTTACACAATTACTCGGTTTTTATTATTATTATTATTGTCTCGGTTGTCAATTTCTGAATCATTTCTTTTTTTTTTCTTTAGCCACGTCATTCAATTACGTTTTTTTTAATGCATAAACCTTTTTCGAGCCCTTTCCAACCTTTTTTTTTCGTACTTTTGCAGTGAATCTTTTTCGTAACCTTTTTTTAAATTAATGATAATAATAATAATAACCGTTTTAAATAGTTATTCTGACGTCATCAAAAGTTTAAAACATAAAAAAAAGGAGTTTGCCGAAAGGTAAAAATTTTTTTTTTAAAAAAGATTTTAACTCATTCAGATTTAAGGTTTATTATGTAAGTGAACGACGGCGGCGGTTGCGGCGGTTGTGGCGGCGGCGGCGGCACATAATCTTATTTTTATAATAAAATAAATTAAACGTTAACTTAAAGTGTTATTAATGTCTTCGAATGAAAAAAAAAAAAAGAGGTAGTAGATTAAGGTTGTTCCGCCATGACTGACTTTTTTTTTTTTCTAACCGCAAATAAAATAATAATAATAATAATAATCCATTCGAATTCGTTTAATCTCATCTCATTATTATTATTATTATTATTATTACTTTCATATTTTTGAAAGTGAAAATTTCAAGGTGTATTAAAAAAAAAATAAAAATTACCGAGTTTGTTGTTGTTGTTAAAAAGTTTTTTTTTTTTTTTGGAGGCATTATAAATAATTTTTTTAATTTTTTGTTGTTGTTGAAATGAAATAGACGGTAGCGGATTAAAATATTGATTGTTCGATGAAAAAATAATAATAATAATTATGAATTAAATAAAAAAAAAAATAATAATAATAATGAAAAATTGCGTACGGATATGAAACTCGATAATTTTCGATTTAATTATAGAAATTAAAAATTATTTCGTACGAGGATTTGACGACTAACTTTAACGAACTAACGCCCTTGGCAACAACAACAACAACAACAACCACAAAAATTTAATTTCACTAAGTTGTTTCATTTATTATTATTATTATTTTCCAGTTTTCCTTCAATTTTTTTTTTTAGCAAACACCGCTCTCTCGTTCGGTTGTTTTGTTTTCTGCTTTTTTTTTTATTTTGTTATCATTATCATTATTATCATTATTATTATTAATATTGTCAACGACCGTTCGCTTGTTATTTAAAAAAAAAAAAAAATTTCACAAAACAACAAAAACGGTTTTTTTTTTTTTTTTTTAAAAAAATTTAATGCCAATTTATCGTATAATTATTCAAAAATTCACGGGTGGTATTAAAATGTTAGATTTACAACGCGACCAACAACAACAAGAACAACAACAACCAGCACAACAACCACAAAAAAAAAACAAAAAAATTAAATAAATTATTGGATTTTGTCGTATACAAACGATTCGAATTTGTTTTAAATCCTTAAAATTATTTTAATTGTACAAGGTGTTTCAACACCTGTAAAACGAATGTAATAATAATAATAATAATGATAATAATAATTTGCAATATTTTTTTTTCTCTGAATCGTTTGCCTCATCGTGTTTTTTTTTTCTTGTAATGAAAGAGTAACAAACGAACAAACAAACGAACGAAAATTTTTTTATAAAAAAAAGTCGAAAACGTAAAAGCTTTTTTCCGACAATAAACATAACAACCGGGTAATTAGTTGAAAGTGATACGGAAAGCTTATACGGAATTCAAATCACATATTAGGGAGGCTGTAATCCTCTCATCATGGACCATCTGTTACCGTCATAAACAAGAGCTAATTACCTGGTCCGGACGTGTTAAGTCTCGGAAACGCGGTAACGTTTTAAACCAAGCAACCGTTTCATTTTATTATACTTTAACTAAACATCCGGGAAAATTTTCTTTACCCCCCGCTCTCTCTCGAATTTTTTTTTCATCCCTGAAAACAACCACGCAAAAAAAATTATAATAACTATTATTATTATTTTCTCTGTTTAATCCTCATCTCCCGTTTCCCGTTCGGCGGAGGGGAAGATGAGCACAAAAAAAAACGAGGAGGGTGGTAGGAGGTTTTATAAAAAAATTACAATTTTTTAGTTTACGCCTCCGTTTTCCTACCTCCTCCCTCTCCCTCCCCCCTTTGTTTTTATTTTTATTTTTTTGAAATTAAGGGTAAAAAAGAAGAGTCATTAAAATAACAAACAACTAAATTATATTTTTATTACTGATAAAACAAACTTATATTCATTTTCAACCCCAAGAGAAAAATTATAATTTAAAAAAAAAAAAAAAAAACTTTTTACCGGTAACGAGGGGGTGGTAATTTCTTTTTTTTTTTTAATCTCCCCGATACCGTTTTTTTTTTTTTTTTTAAACTTTTACATTATCGCTAATTATTATTATCATCATTTTTTTTTAAAACGAATTATATTTTAAAAATCAAAATGGCGGCAGTATTGAATGGATTAAAATTTGTGTACGTTGTTGAAATTTATCGATTTTTTTAAAATTGTACATCCGGTTTAACCGGAAGTTAACAAAAAAATTTGAACGATTAGTATTTAATGAGTTTAAAATTAGAAAAAGTACGAAATCGTCAAAGAAAAAAAAAAACCGCCGAAAGGTGTAAAGAAAAAAAATTAATAATGTAAATTGCAAATGGTCGTGCCAAAGGGGGCTTTCTTATACTTTATAACCTTTCTCTCCCTTCCCTCCTCTCTCTCTCTCTCTCTCACTTTGCAGTTTAAAATTTAATGAATTATTTCCTGATATATTTTATAAATGCGTGTATGCGTGTGCGTGTGTAAAACCTTCAAGCACTCATAATAAAACGTTTAAATAAACTGACCGGTAAAAAAAAAAGTGGTTTTAATATTAAAAAAAAAAAAAAACGTCGTGTAATTAATTGTTGTTGTAGTGAAAATTATATAAAAAAAAAAAAATAAAATCCATTGATTATTATTATTATTATTATTAAATTATTATTATTATTATTATTATTATTATTATTATTATTATTATTATTATTATTATTATTATTATTATTATCATCAATCTTTTTTTTTAAGCAAACGTGTTTTTCTTTTTTTTATTACTCTTTTTTTTCGCTTTAAACGAAAAATTAAATCGTTCGGAAAAAAAAAATCTAAAATGAAAAAAAAAAAAATTTTATTAAATTATTAACTGTCATTATTATCATTATCATTATTATCATTATCATTATAATTACCTTGAGTGTTGGTTAAAATTAATATGCCGTTGTAATTCTGTCATTTATTTATATATTTATTAAATACAAACCGAAAAATTTCAAATAATGTTTATTGTATGTATATAAATAGTAATCGAGTGCGTGTGTGCGTGAGTGAGTGCGTGGGGTCGGGCGCGTGCGTATTTTTAAAAGCCTTTTTTTACAACGGACGAATTAAAAAAAAAAAAAAAACGCGCGTGTGTGTATAATTTATATGAAGATAATATCGAGAAATTGTAGAGACTTGTAGATAGATAATCTAGCAGATGGTCATACAATTAATTACAAAGCATTTATTGCTGCTATCATTATTATTATTATTATTATTATTATTATTACTACCGTCGTCGTAGTCGTAGTCGTAGTAGTCGTCTTTAATTTATAGTTTAATTTTTGATAAATTATCATCATTATTATTATTATTTAAAATGTTTTCGGTTTTTTTTTTTTTTAAATTTATGCTTTGTTTAAATAATATTAAATATTTTTAAATTAATAATGATAATAATAATAATAATAATAATAATAATAAATGGTTAGAAAGTAAAAGTTTATCACGATTTGAATATAATAATAATGATGATATCAATCGTTATTATTATTATTACTATTAAATTAAATAAATAAATGAAAGATTAAATGAGAAAAAAAATAGTAGTAAATGACGTGGCAATAAGTTAACCAAAAGTACGAATGGGTAAATTTATATTTATTTACACGATCATATTTTTTTTTCTTTTTGCTACCTGTAAATTTTTTTCTCTTTTTTTTTCGTCGATAATTTACGATAAAAAGAAAAAAGGGAAAAAAGGGGAAAAGAAAAATTAATTAAAACGGTAATAAATTATATAGAGCGAACGTTATAAGAAAAGAAAAGAAAGAAAACCGGAAATGGTTTTTCTTTATTTTTCGGCGAGTCACCTTTTGTTGCAAACGGTAGCGTCGAAGAACGAGCGCGTTCAGAAATTTCCCTTTTTGACAACAGTAGCATCGAAGAAAGAGCGCGTTCAGAAATTCTCCTTTTTTGCAAACGGTAGCGTCAAAGAGTGCGTTCAGAAATTCTCCTTTTTTGCAAACGTCAGCGTGAAAGAAAGACCGCGTTCAGAAATTTTCTTTTTTGACAACAGTAGCATCGAAGAGCGCGTTCAGAAATTCTCTTTTTATTTTCCATTGTTTGGAAAATATGACGTCATTGAAACCAACGACAAATTAAATTCTTTCAATTTTTAAATAAATGAAAAAAAAAAAAAAAACGGATGCTAAGATTTTTAATTTAAAATTGTCGTCGTGCTGTGCTTTCTTATTATTATTTATTTATTTATTTATACGGTTGATTTTAAACAACAACAGCAACAAACAACAATCAACAATCGTTACATACAAACACACACACACACACATTTTTTTTTTTATCTATTACTCTTTAAAAGTAATAATTTTTTTAAATAGGTAAAAACTCATAGAATTGAAATATGATTGAATGGTAAAATATTTTCCATATAAGCCGGTAACACACACACGCAAATTATCCCAACGCTAATTTAAAATCTTTCGAATTTGTCACGTTAAAAAAAATTTTTTTTTTTTTCTCAACATTAGTGAGTGAGTTCGTACCTTTCTTCATTTTGTGTGTAAAATTACATCTCGTTAAAATACGTTTTTTTTATTTAATAAATAAATAAGTAAAAAAAAAAAAAAAAAGCAAACGCGAGTATTTTTTTTATTTTTTTTATTTTTTACTTTCCAGGCGTATGTTTCCAACGTTACGAGTTTCATTTACGGGAATCCGACCTGAACAAAGGTATGCTGTGTTAATGGACATTGTGCCTGTAGACAACAAAAGGTACCGTTACGCTTATCATCGTTCTTCATGGTTAGTTGCTGGAAAAGCTGATCCTCCGGCACCCTGCAGACTTTACATGCATCCAGATTCTCCTTTCACCGGTGATCAACTTCGTAAACAAGTAGTTTCATTTGAAAAAGTCAAATTAACCAACAATGAAATGGATAAAAACGGACAGGTGAGTTGAGTTTTTTTCCGCATCCATAATTTCTTTTTTTTTTTTAAGGTAATTATTTAAAATGAAAAAAAAAATGCTGACAGGTATTTGCTTATTAATTTACTTTCTTTCTCTCTCTCTTCTTCTCTCTTTCTTTACATTTTGCCCATCGGTTAAATTTTAATAAAATAATAATAATTACAGAGACTAGGGGAGAGACCATTATATATAATATTAAAAATTACTCGTTTTCGAATGTTTAGGAGGGGAGGGGGAAGGAAAAAAAAAATTTTTAATAAATGTAGAACATATCAAACGTATTTCTAGAAAGTTCGATGATTTTTTTTTTCTTTCGAAAGCGAAAAAAGGAAAAAATACGTCGTCGTCGTTGTCGTCGTCGTCAACGTCATCAACCAAATCAAAATATTCGTAATCCTTTAAATAATTCTATTTAGAAAAAAAAAATTATTTTTACAATCGTTTCGTAACAACAACACAAAACTCCTACAGAAAAATAAGCAGAAGAAAATAATAATAATAATAATAATAATGGTAATAACGATAATAATAATATTGACGTACGATTTTTCTTGGATTTTTTTTTTTTCTCTCTAAACAACATATATTTTTACGACTTTTGCCGTTGAAAGGCGGATTTTTTACGAAGAGTCAAAATATATGCCGGGGATACGGACGCATACACGCACGCACACGCACGCACACACGCACACACACATATATTAGCTGTAAATAATATCGAACGGCATTCATTTAAATAACACCTTCAGACAGTATAATTCGCCATAGTTAATTTGTCTGCTTCTGGTTTTAACTGCTCATTAGGTTAACATTTTTTTTTTTTTATTGTTTTTTTTTATTTTCCTTTTTTATTATTATTATTATTATTCTTACGATTTTTTTCCCTTCTTCTTCTTCTTCTTCTTCTTCTTCTCCTTTTTTTCTACTAACAATCGTTACGGTTGTTTTTTTGTTGTTTTATTTTATTTTTTGCGACGGTTAAAAATGAACTTTTGTTAAAAGATTTCGTAATAAATTTTTTTTTCTTATTCTTCCCTAACGAAAAAGTATTTGACGACAACCGCAACCACAACAAACGACAAACGACGATTTTAATACAACAATAAATCGAACAATATTAATTTTAATTGATTGTTACATAAAATAAAAACAAAATGGCCGAACGTACGTTTTTAAAAATTTTTCAGTATAAAAAACGAGTTATACTTTAATTATTATTATTATTATTATTATTATTATTATAAAAATTTAATTACGGGTTCGAAAGGGAATGAAGGAAAAAAAATGGCGATTAAATTTTTTTTTTAAATAACAAAAAAAAAAAATGTTGGCAATTTATTTTATATTTAAATTTTTTTTACTGAAACTTTCGTCACGGTATAATAAAAAACATTAAAAAATTTATATTCTCGCGTTTTTTTTTTTTTTTTTTAAATAAATGCTTATTATTAACGAGATTGTAAAATTATCAGTGGCAGAAGAAAAAAAATATATATATTTATATATATTTATTTTATTTTTTCGTCTGCTTGTTCAAACGGTCCGTCGTTGTTTTCTTCTTCCTCATCCTCCTCGTCGTCGTATTTTTCTTCTTCTTCTTCATCTTCTTCTTCTTCTACTTCTTCTTCTTTTTTTTCTTCTTACATCAACTTTTAGTCGGGGTAATAAAATAAAATATAAATAAAGGACATATTAAAGAGTAATTATCATTCGTCTTGGGTAATAAGAAAATATTAATTATTATTTTATTACTCTAAAAAAATTATTATTATTATTATTATTATCATTATCATTATCATCATCATCATAAGTATTTAAATATATATAAATAAAAAAAATGAAAAAAATTTTTGTAATTTTTTTAATGGCGTAATTGTTTGAAAACACGTCGCGTTTCGAAACATAAAAAAAAAAATCGTTGATAACTCAACGCGACGTTATCACAAATTAACTTATTGATAAATTATTATTATTATTATTATTATTATTATTAATAAACGTTCGAAAAGATGATGACGTCAACGACGACGATGACGACGCAACAACAAGAGGGCATACGTAAACTCGTTAAAAAAAAGAAAAGAAAAGAAGTTTTTGGAACTGGAATTTTTTTTTTTTAACAACAACAACAACTCTTGTGCGTGCGTGCGTGAGTTTTTTTTTTTTTTCGTTCAAATGTTGGTAATGAAATTTTGCATGCGTGCAAACACAAAATAAAACGAATAAATAATAATTTTTTTTTCTTTTTTTTTACGCTTATTTAATATTGTTATTAGATATACACGTATGGATGGACTCCCGCTGATTCTATGGTTTTCCACTGTAATTTGCATAATTTTCTACTGAAATTCCAGAAGTAGTAACTTTCTAAGGCCTAACAAAAAAAAAAAAATTTTAACTCGGAATTAATAATAATAATAATAATAATAATAATAATAATAATAAATATAAATTATGGATATACGATGTAAGAAGGTAGAAAAAAGAAACGAACCAAACGAACCCGACTGGATTCTTCTTCTTTTCTTTTATCCAGGTTGTTTTGATTGATTACAAAACGTTTTCGATTTATTTCGATACGATATTTCTTCACAATTTAATCGAATCACGTTTAAAACTCGAAATTTTTTTTATTAAATTTAATTTAATGTGGGAGGTGTGCGAAAAAGGGTCAATATAATTTTATAAACGATAAATTTCTAAATTTTTTTGAACTATGGCGTTTGATAGTGTGAGATATTCGTTGATAAGAATTCGAATCGTTTAAAAAAAAAACACGCGCGCTCGTGTGAAAGCGTTTGTGCCACGACTAGTGTCATTTTCTTCTGCTTCTTTTTTCGGAATCGTTAACGTTAAAAAACTTATGGAATTATCGATAAAAAAAAAAAAATAAACGAATAATGTTTCGCTCTCAAATTAGCAAGACAGTGGTAGTAGTATTTAATAATCACAAATAAATAAAATTACCTTAAAAAAAAAAAAAACAAATTTAACGTGGAAGGAGCAGTGGAAGATGGCGAAAAGTCAACACAAAATAAACACGATTTTATATATAATTATCACCATTATGAAATTTTGATTAAATAAATTTTTTTTTTTTTTTATAATTAGGTGTTAAAAATTTTTTTTTTTTTATTTTTAACGAGTTTTTTTAAACGTGGTCCAAAGTATTTTTTTTTTTTTTTACGTGGCATTAGTACGGAATAATAATTTATTATTTGTATTTTTAATACCCATCGTCGTCTGATAATAATGGCGTGAAATAAAATATTCAAACGTTGTTTTTGCCGTTTCTGTACAAATAAATAAATAATTTTTTTTTTAACCGTCGTCTGATTATCGCATGCCGTCAATTCTTAACGACTAATTAACACCTGAACATTAAATCAATTTAATTAACAAAAAAAAAAAAGAATTTTTTTTTTTTTTACGATGATGATGTTGGAAAAAAAAAATAAATCATTATATAAAAATAAAAAAATTTAAGTTGCCATCACGGCCACCGGTATCGCCACCGTCGACGCCACCGTCCCTGCTACTGCCACGATCCCCACAATAATAATAATAATAATAATAATAATAATATTTAAATGATTTTCTTTGTCTGCGCTTTTTAATCGTCTCCGAATAAAAAAAATTTCATATAAATAACCGCTCGAGGGGAAACAAAACAAAAAAAAAATCATAATAAACAACAGGTTTAACTTGATATTGTTTCTTTTTTTTCAAATCTTTTTCTTTTTTTTTTTTGATAAATACGAAAATAAAATAAAAGAAATTCGTGCATCACGCAAGGTGTTAATGGTCAAACACGATGTCGAAAACGCACAAACGCGCACGCACGCACGCACACGCACGCACGCACACGCACGCATACACGCTAGAGGACCCCATACTACACACGTAGTTATAACCGTCATCGCCGCCGCATAAGCTACCGTTCGAATTTTCTCTTTTTTTTCTAACCATATTTCGGCACGTTTTCTCAAAGAATAATAATGATGATGATGATGATAATGATGATGATAATAATGATGATTATAAATTAAAATTCGCATTTAAAAAAAAAAAAAAGTTAATTTTTTCTTTTTTTTTTTGGGACGCAACACGACGCTTTCACCGACGTTTTTTTTTTAAATTATCATTATTATTGTTTATAACGTTTCACCAATAATAATAATAATAATAATAATAATAATAAATACTTTAATTTATTTATTAATAAATATTATACGACGACGTTTGGAGTTTTTTTAAAAATGTTTTTCGAATTTAAAAAACTTTTCGTGGCATTAAAAAAAAAAACGTTAGAAATTTTTATGCGGTTGTAAAAATCCAAAGTTTAGTAAAAAAAAAAATGACGTGGTAGTAGATTTTTAAGACCTTTCGGCAAAGATGAAGAAAATTATGATGGTGTGGAAAAAAACCACCAATGAAAATTCTTATTTTCAACTAATATTTAAGCTTAACACATCGTTTTCGACTTTACCTGCAACACCTCGTTAATAGTTTATAAAAAAAACTAAAACTAAAAAAACCTTTAAAACCTTTTTTTTTTCTTATTCCCCAAATGCTTCGTTCGTACGTAAAAAAAACTTTTTCTTCTGCTTTTTTTAGTTTTTAGTTTTTTTTTCACACATTCGAATTTAACGATTTTTTAAAAATTTATATTTTCAGATAGTTTTAAATTCTATGCATCGATATCAACCGAGAATTCATTTAGTTAAATGGAGAGAACATGGCGGTTCCATATTGGATTTAGATTCCGAAGAATATAGAACATACATTTTTCCAGAATCAGTATTTACTGCTGTAACAGCTTACCAAAATCAGCTCGTGAGTATTATTCCCTATTTTTTATCCCTATTCTTCCCGTTTTTTTTTTTTGATAAATTTAACGGTTTTTTTTCTTTTTTTTTTTGATAACAGATAACCAAATTAAAAATCGATAGTAACCCATTTGCCAAAGGATTTAGAGATTCATCTCGTCTTACAGATTTTGACAGGTAAAATAATTTTTTTGTTTTTATTATCATCACTCGTTCGTTTATATTCGACGTTCGAAAACCGTTAATTTAAAAAAAAAAAAAAATTCAAAACAAATATAGAAAAATTTTTTTAAAACGATTTCGATAAATAATAATAGTAACTAAAATGATTAGTTTTTTAAACGAGAAAAAAAAAGAAAAACTCATTTAAAAAAAAAAAAATGTCGTACGAATAGAATGAGAGAGAGTGAGTCTAAAGGTACGTTTAAAACTTGAGCTTCTGTAATTATATCTCATTAAACCAATCTACGTGACGAATGTTCTTTGTTAAGGTTTGTTCCATGAAAAATTTTTTTTATTCAATGTTATTGAATAATACACACAAATTTCATTTTTTTTTTTAATACGTCTTCTGCTTCTTACGTCAAACATAATTTTTCTTTTATTACCACTACTACCCCGACTACTACCACGACTAACTATCCGAGATGTATTAATCCGAATAAAAGAAAAAAAATATCATTGATTATTCAGGTACGTGTGAAAATTGTTTTTTCTCTCTCTCTTCTCTCCTTTCCACCGCCACCACCTCATTTGTTTTTCTACCTCCATTTTTTTTATAATCCTTCCGTCGTCTGCTTTTTTCTATTTTTCTTTTCTTCGACCGTTAAAAAAAATGATGTAAACTTTTTCTTTTTTTTTAATGTAAAACCGAACGTATTAAAATTTATGCTTGTTATTTATGCTCGTCGTATTTTCAAGGTCTTTATTGTGAAGATTCTGATGCCGGGGGCGACGACGGAAATACTTTAATGTGAATATTATTATAATAAAAAGTGGCATTAGAATATTTAATGATAATAATAATAATAATAATAATAACAATTCTTACTTCCTCTTTATGTAATTAATTTTAATTAAATTTAATACTTTTTCCTTTTCCCTTTCTTATTCACACACATCTCGTCCTCCTTTCATCTCCCCCCTCCCTGTTCTCCCCGTTTATGACAAACATTATCATTATTAATATCTCATAATTATTATTATTAAATTTCCGAAAAGTTTAAAATAAAATAAAAACGGAAAAAAAAGAAGAAGACAAATCAAGTTTTTTTTTTTTTCTTTTTGAATTTAAATATTTTTTTTTATTTACGTTTTTTTTTGAAATTTAACGATGATAATAATAATATTATTATTATTATTATTTCTTGTTGGCACTATTTATAACCGAAAGGAGAAAAAAAAAAAATTATTTAAAACTCGTGTCTCTCACTTTTTTTTTTTTTTGACAAACGAGTTGTTCAAATTGACGCGATCAAAACAAAACCGTCAAATAATCATTTATAATTAAAGTGCGGTTAAAGTTAAATCAATTATTAAAGGGGAAAAAGAAAAAAAAAAAATTTGAATGAAGGAATCAGGTACACGATAGAAAAAAATTCTTTTAAGAGAGAGGGGGGAGGGGAAGAAGAAGGTAAGGATAGAAAAAGATTTGACTCGTCGTAACTAAAAATTAAAATAAGTGATTTCCCTTTGAGGCATTTTGAAAATCATTTGAAATGTGTCGACGGTTATTGTTTAGGTGTGATTCCGACGGAAAACCTCTAATAAACAATGTTTTGTGAATCGAGGCTACCGCACAAGGGTACCTCATACGTGACACACTACCTACCTACCTCTCTCTCTCGTGTCGGCTCCTTATTACCTCCGATACCATAGATTCGTGCCCTGTTATTATCTATGCCGACAAACATAAACTCTTTTTCTGGGCATTAAATCTCGTATACATTTCGTACTTTGATACTACCCGTATTTGGTTATCGGCAACAAAAAAAAAATGACCGGGAGTAAGAAAAATTATTATTTCAAGGTGTGAACGGATTTTTTTTGTTGTTTGACTGACGATGATATGTTTTTTTTGTCATTTATAAATAATAAAACAAAATGTCGGGAGAGGAGGAGGGGGAGGGAGGAAAAACGTATTACGTGATCCAACGTATGTATATAATTTTATATTAATTACATTTTTTTTTTTTAAATTCAATAATGATTTCCTTTTCTTCTGCTGCAATTTTTTTTTTTTGTTGTGATACCTTCTGGCATTATCGATTATTATTTTGCAAAGAAAATTTTTTTTTTTTTTTAAATTATTAAGGGAAAAAATATAATAATCGATATCAAATCAATAAATATTACAACGAGTTTTTTTTTCATGAGTAAGAAAATATTATTAATAAATTAATTTTAACGGTAATAAATTAATTAACTGTATACGTTTTTACCATAAGTTTATGTTTACGTAAATAATGATTGAGTTGAAAGAAATTATTATTATTATTATTATTATTATTATTATTATTATTATTATTATTATTTTTATGTAAACGAAACGTCCTTAAAAAAAAATATGGTGGTTTAAAAGTTCATGGAAATTTTTTTTTTTTACTATAAAAATTCTAGTGAAATTTTTATTAATTTCATTATTTATATATATTTATATAAATAAATTCCACGTTTTAGTGTGTGCGTGTGCGTGTGCGTGTGCGTGTGTGTGTGTGCGTGTGCGTGTAGTAAAAGAGTAGAAAATTTTACTATTAAAAAAATAACCTTTCGAACAATTTTTTTTTTTTAATTTAAAAATAATTTACCCTTCGAATGAAGTAATAAAAATATTTATATATATAAATTTTTTATTGATTAAATTATTATTATTATTATTATTATTATTATTATTATTATCATTATCATTTCGATGTTCGCCATGAAAAAATAATAATAATGATAATGATAATAAAAAAAAAAAAACACGAAACTGTAATTTAAATTTCAACAGGGTTGTGTTGTTTTCACGTCAGGTATTTCACAAATTGTTTATAAATTTTTATACCTTGAAAAATACCTTAAAATATCATTTCAAAAGGATGTCTCGGATCATTTTAAATCAAAGGAAAAAAAGAAAAAAAAAGGAAAGGAAAGGAAAAAAAAGGAATTTCCGTGCTCACGGAATATCATTTAAAAAAAAAAAAAGGTTTTTTTTCCTTTTTTTTCCGTTCGGGTTTTTCTTAAACGAATGAATTTGCCGTAAGTTAAACATGGTTGTTATAAAAATAAATTTTTTTCTCGTACCTGCTACTGACACTTCACCGCCTTGTAATTTTGCAGGTTGACCGCTAGAAGTGTGATAATGATAGGGTGTAAACATTCTTTCACACTTCTTAGTCAACTATCAATTTTTTTATTTAATTTTTTTTTCCTTTTTTTTTTTTTATTATTATCATCATCATTACCATCATCATCATTACCATCATCATCATCATCATTATTTTTTAATGTTGTTATTGAATAAATTACGGTTTTGTCAATTTGTTATTATTATTATTATTATTATCGTTCCTTTTGTTAAAAACAGATATTTTGATTTGGCAATGCCCAATAGAAAAAAAAAAAAAAGTTTGAAATGTTT